TGGTTATTACCTTTAAAGCCCTTCATGGCACAGGACCAGGTTATCTGAGGAGCTGTCTCATCCCTGTTATATCATCCCGCCCCACTCAGTCCGGCAGAAGGGGCATGTTGCGGAGCCCACCAGTCAAGGAATTTCGACTGGCAAAGTCTAGGAAGAGGGCCTTTTCTGCCATGGCCCCTGCTCTGTGGAACAACTTACCACCTGAGGTGTGGTGCGCCCCACTCTCATGGCCTTCAGGAAGAGTGTGAAATCTTGGCTATGCCAAATGGCCTGGGGGCCTGATGGGGGCTCACACCATTGGAAGTGGTTTGTAGGGTAATTGATTCTACCCCCCCGTCATCTTGAATGTTTTAGTTTTTTTATGTATATAGTGTTTTATATATAGTTTGATTTTTTAACTACATTAATATGGATATTTATATTTTTAACTGTTTTTGAGGTTTGATTTTAATTGTGAGCTGCCCAGAGTCACCCTCTGGGGGAGATGGGTGGCATATAAATCTAATAGATAGATAGATGGGTGGTATATAAATCTGAGAGAGAGAGAGAGATCTGGTTCCCCCACATGAAAGCCTTTACCAAACTGAATCTTTTCTGGATTAGTCTGTGTGTCAGATTGTATTTTAGTTTGAAGTTATGGCATTTTTACATCAGTCCTCCCAAAAAATTGCATTATGAGTTCTTGAAAGATGTATTAAACTGCACTGTAATTTTTTTGATTATCACTTGATTGTTCTGTTGTGACAAGCAAGAGTAACGTGAGAAAATATTATACAATTTAAAGTTCTCTCTGTGTCCTTGTTTTTTAGTGTTCTCTTAAGTGCTGTAAGTGGGGAAGATACCCAAGATCGTACTGATCGGTTACTTTTGACTCCTTGGGTTAAGTTTCTGTGGGAATCATATAGGCAGTGTTTGGATCTTCTCAGAAACAATTCCAGAGTGGAGAGACTCTATCATGATATTGCCCAACAAGGTAACATTTAAACTTTTCACTGTCTCTGTCTAAAATGTAGTTAATTTTTTAAAATAAATGTGATTGTCAACTTCTGATGGAAACACCATTTCCTCCTTTTAAACAGTGAATTAGAAACTTTTTCTGATAAACATTTTAACAATTCAAGAAAAATCTGGCTTTTCATTAAGAAAATACATGAAAGAAATAACTCTCCTCCAGGTGATTGATGTCAGTAATATTTTTAGCATGATCATAACTGATAAAATATACATTTGGAATAATTTAATCTTGCAGCTTTCAAGTTCTGTTTGCAATATACTCGTAAGGCTGAATTTCGTAAACTCTGTGACAACTTAAGAATGCATTTGGGTCAAATTCAGCGTCATCACAATCAAAGTACAGCAATCAACCTCAATAATCCAGAAAGTCAGTCAATGCATTTGGAAACTAGGCTCGTACAACTAGACAGTGCTATCAGCATGGAACTGTGGCAGGTATGTACTTAATACAACATTGAAGCATTGTAATATTTCAGTTTTTACTTTCCATCTTCATTTAACTTTAAATTCCATTTTATGCTTTAAGACATTTTAGTTACCAATTGAAGTCACTTTAATTCTGTTCTACTTAATGATTAGGATTGATCTAAGACAAGCTCAACTGCCTGATTTAGATAGATATCCAGATTTAGCATGTGCACCTGTCTCCATCAGTAAATCATGGGAATGGAACAGAGCCATTCTCAGTACAAGGATTGTTTAAATTGTCCAGGATGCAAATAAAAAAGAGCTGGCTTCTGGGGCAAAGGAAAGGAAAGAGTCAGCTATGGAAGGAATGGGAAGAGAAAGGATGATAGAGACAAATTTCAGAGGAAGGGGAAGGAGGACCTGGAAGATACTGGGGGAGAGACCACAGTGATGGAAACTAAAATACAAGGAAAGCAGTACGCAGGCTCCCAGTCATTGATGCAAAATCATTGCAGAAGTTAGGAAGGAACCCTGGCAAGATTAGGGACTCTTTGGTTTCTGGAGAATTACCATCTTTGCTCTTGGATGGGGTTGCACTCCTCCAGATGCACCCGGTGTGTAATCTGGGGGTTCTCCTGGACTCGCAACTCCTGTTCAAGGAGCAGGTGGCAGTTGTGGCCAGGAGAGCCTTTGTGCAACTGTGAGTTGTGTGCCAGTTATGCCCATTCTACAGTCAGCCATGCCCTACTCATGTCCTATTTGGGCTATTGTAATGTGCTCTACATGGGACTGCCCTTGAGTATCTGGAAGCTTCAGTTGGTTCAAAATGCGGTGGCCTGCATTGTTTTGTGCAAACCTAGATTTGTGCACATGCTGCCTCTTTTGCAGGAGCTGCATCGGTTGCCAATTTGCTTTCAGGTTCAATTCAAAGGACTGGTTATCGCCTTTAAAGCCCTACATGGCTTGGGGTCAAGTTATTTGAAGGATCACCTTTCCCCAGTTACATCTATCTGGGCCACAAGAGTGGGGAGGCAGGGCATGTTGTGGGAGGGAGGTACATCTAGTGGCTCCCTCCCTGTGGAATATCGTTCCCCTGAAGATAAGACTGGCTCCCACCTTGATAATATACTGGAAGGCCCTTAAGAGGTGTTTTTGTCAGCATTCCTGAAGACCCCAGGGTAGCCAATCACATGGTTAATTTGAATATCTTTGTTGCCACCAGGGAGATGGGGGTGGTGGTTTTGTTTTGTTTTGTATTTGGGTTTTAATTCTGTAAGCCACCCGGAGTCACCATGTGTGAGTTGGGTGACCATATAAGTTTGTTTATTAAAAAAATAAATAACTGACCAGAAAACTCCAGAGTGGGGACAGAGTTACTTCTGTAAGGAAAGAAAAAAACCTAGACAGTGGGCAGGAGAGGATCCTTCCAAATTATCTGAAAGGCTGAAATACAGAGTTTAGAAGCATTGGGATTTTTAAAACCAGTTCTTACCCTCTCAAAACTAAAGAGCGTTTGATGTTTCAGAACATACTTAGATCCTGCTTAGCTTACACTTACAAGCCAAAGAAAAGCTAAATGAAAATAAACATTTCCAATTCTGTCATAGTGTTCCAGCCATCTTCCTTCCAGGACTTTTACCTCAGGGCCTGGAGATATTCTGAACTCTAATTGCATTTAGTTGTATACTGTGAGAGAGTGTATATTTCCCAATTTGAGGTTGGTGATTCTTTCCTAACCAATATTGAGTGAAATTTGTTTTGCCTTTATCAATGGATAAGGCAGTAATAAGGATTCTATTAATTTCCATAGATGCAAAACAGATTTGGTAGCACAGTGCTAAAAGTAACTGGATGTATAATTTATTTGTAATGGAGGTTTTCCAAGTAAATGTGCTTAGGTTCACAGCTAGGAATAATGAACACATGTATATTAAATAGGTCTACTATATTTCAGCATGTGGCATTCCTTAAATTCTTCTTTCGTGGTAATTTAACATGCAGTTATTTTTTTTTTCAGGAAGCTTTTAAAGCTGTGGAAGATATACATGGACTATTCTCCTTATCCAAAAAGCCACCAAAGCCCCAGCTGATGGCAAATTATTACCACAAAGTTTCTACTGTATTCTGGAAATCAGGAAATGCACTCTTTCATGCATCTACACTTCATCGTCTTTATCATCTTTCAAGAGAAATGCGAAAGAATCTCACACAGGAGGAGATGCAGAGGTGGGAAAATCTATGGCTTGGAGCAATTTTCTTTTTGGAATCACATTAATAGCAGTTTTGAACTACCATTTAGCTGTGTTTAATATTATTTCAGTAGACTTTATAAAACAACAATGGGATGTTCCTACTTTGTTCCTTGCATACACCTTGAATTTGCTCTGCAAGGTCAGAACAGATAAAGGGTGTATGGCAGGAGGAGATAAATAATTGTGCTGGTAGGTGCCATTCCATTAGCATAATGAGTACATTGTTTTAGTTGCTGGAATTTAGAGGTGGGAGAGTGGGAAGATGGTGTTTTAACTGTTTAAATATGAACAATAGCCTGTCCGAAATCTTCTTATTTGCATCTTTTTGTCTGTAGGATGTCAACAAGAGTTCTTTTGGCTACTCTGTCAATTCCAATAACCCCTGAACGAACTGACATTGCTCGGCTTTTGGACATGGATGGCATAATTATTGAAAAACAACGCCGATTGGCAACACTGTTAGGACTTCAGGCTCCACCTACTCGAATTTCTCTTATTAATGACATGGTAAACTACTTTCCATAAACGTGTTTATATTGCTAGTTTATATTATACAGACTTTAATTGTTTTGCAGTCTCAGATCAAAATGTCAAGAGAAGTTGCACCAAGTGACACTGTCGTCCTTCTGGCATATAAAGATGTTAAATTACTTGTAAATTAGAATATGCTTAATATAGATACCTGTATATTGTAATCTTAAGTTTTAAAATGTGCCTGCATGTGTATAAAACCATATCTGAGATAAGTTTACAAATTACTATTTTTTTTTAATTCATGTCTCATAGGTGAGATTTAATGTAGTGCAATATGTTGTCCCAGAAGTAAAAGAACTTTATAACTGGCTTGAGGTAGATTTTCATCCACTGAAGTTATGTGGTCGTGTATGCAAGGTAAGTGCTGAATTATTCAGATTAGAAATGTTGATTTTGAAACAGGTGCCAGCACAAATTGTTTATAGCAAATGATATTCTGTTAAGTTGAACTGTGGCCCCATTCACTCAATGGATCGAAGACCTGATTATACTTGCCACCTGTGAGCGGATTCCCTATAGATGTAGCATGATGGACAAGCATAATGAAATATGGGACTCATTTATACAAAATACAATAGATTAAAAAAAAGCATAATAGTTATTTAAGTGTATTAGAAATAAATATATTCATACTTGCATAATATTTGTATTAGGTAAGCATATATAGAATTGAAACTATTTACTGTTACAATATACAGTGGTACCTCGCGTTACAAACGCCTCTGTTAACGAACCTTTCGGGTTACGACCAGCTCCGGCCGCAAAAATTTACCTCAGTTTGTGAACTCCGCCTCGGGGTACAAACAGGATACGCGGCCATTTTCTCTCCCGTGACACAGTCCGCGGCCATTTTTCTGCCCCTGACATGTGGTCCGCAGCCATTTTCTGCCCCTGACACGTGGTCTGCGGCCATTTTTCCGCCCCGACACGAGGTCCGCGGCCATTTTCCGCCCCTGACTCGTGGTCCGTGGCCATTTTTCCGCCCCTGACTCGTCCGCGGCCATTTTTCCGCCCCTGACACATGGTCCGCGGCCATTTTTCCGCCCCGACACGTGCTCCGTGGCCATTTTTCCACCCCTGACACGTGCTCCGCGGCCATTTTCCGCCCCTGACACATGGTCCGCGGCCATTTTTCCGCCCCGACACATGGTCCGCGGCCATTTTTCCGCCCCGACACGT